CTCCCTTGAATAAAAAAGCTAGAACAATTGAAGAAGTGACAGAAAAAATGGAATTAATGGCATCAGTTTCTGATCCTGTTTCATCTAATGTTAAAAAACAAACTGATGATGACTGGCCTAGCTTGATGAGTCTGATGTCAGGTAGGAGAAGAAAGTCAGGAAGTGTGAATTAAAAGTCAGGAAACAGGGAACTAGGTTGAGGTACAGTGATGGAAAGTTGGGATTAGAACAGTGTGCAAATTAAGTACAGAAGTGAGGATTCGTGATGGGAAGCCTCTGCCCATGATTCAATTGAATCATTAATACTTTCAAAAATTTCAACATAAAGAAAGGGGACTAGACATAGATCTTGTAGAAAGGAAGAAAGAAGTTGAACCAGGTAGAGTATCCCTACCCAGCAATAAAGAACATGAGCAAGGAAATGGTAGAAAAAGTGAAATGGGCCATAGTGGAGAAGGAAATGAGAATTGTCTGCAAAAAATCCTTTGTGGCACAGTAGAGTGCCTCAGACTTGAATTGTAGAGAGGAGAGATAAAGAAAGAAGAAGAATCAGGTAAAGATGGGAGTATTGGGCACTGGAGGGTAAAACTGATGCCAAAGAACACCTCCCCCTCTCCAAACAGACAAGACAGTTTCCAAATTTGGAATTTGAGAAAAGGAATTCAGAATGACTGAAATCCAGGATATAAGAATCAGGTAGATAAGGAGGGCAAGGCACGAGTTTACAGAAATGTAGTTGGTCAAGGAAGGAATCAGCTTGAATGCCAATGTCAGGAATGGTAAAATGAAATATAGTTAGGGTTAGGATTAAGAAGTAGGGAATGAGAAGAATCATATGACACAGGGGAAAGAGAAAGAATGGTACATACTTGTAAAATCAAGTCCTGATAATGTGAGAAAATTTGAGGTTTTCCTTCAACAAGGAGAGAAGTGCTCAAAGCATAACCAGGAGGAGAAAAATTTGTTCTCTTCATTCTCCCCTCAAAATGAGGTGAAGGAATGCCTGAAGAATTGACTGGAGCTGAAGATCCTACCTGCATAAAGGAACACACTACCCTATGTACAATGGCCATCATGTCATCTCAGTCAATGTGCCTCCGTAGTTGATACTTAACCTGTGTGAGGAAAATGTTCACTCACACAAGTAGTAGTAGATGTTACATGAACTTGTGAGTTCATACTTTGTAGATAAAAAGAAGGAAATTGAGTTCCTTAAATTGAAAAAGAAAAAACACATCTGATGTATTCAGTGCCAAATGCATAGAGTGAGTTAGTGTGTCACTCTCCTATACGTTTTGCTGAATAATGTTGTCATTATGCAGTAGCACAATTCACGAGGATTCTAGTGAGATTAGATGAGAATTCACTAAGGGCTAGCGGTATGCAAGTATTTAAGGCAGATGCACTGGGAAGATAACTTGACTAACTGCATGGTATGGTAACGTTTTGAAAATAACACATAAATAGTTCTACATATATTATTCATAAATTAATTTGTATACAGAATTAACTTTCCTCGTGCTGTACTTTCTTCCATTGCAAGAATGGTGAAGCTTGCATAATTTTGGGCATTCTAATGCTCCAAGTTCTTCACAATCAAGTTTGACATAATTTTGTAGGACTTTTACCTTATCCAGTCCCTTAACATACATCTGGTCAAAGCTTTTACACAGTGTATCACATATCTTGTGTTACTTTGTAGATGGTCAGTTGTCCAGATGATGTATTGGTTGACTTCAAGGGCAAATAAAAGTCTAGAATACAGTGGCCAGAAGACAACTACCTCCTTTCATGGCATAACAATGTAGCTGAAAACAAATTCTTTGTTCAGGAACTGACATTCCAATCAGAAGCCCTTCATGCCCACATCAATTCCTCAGGTCTCGACAATGATCCAACTTCCACTATAAGATTGAACACAATGTTAAATAATTGATTAAAGTAAGTATCTTAGACTTGCAAGTTCACGGTTCTAATATTTACTAAACCAGTGTTTACTACACCACTATTATTGTTTTACTTTTTTTTTCACTAACACTATGTTATTTTCCTAATTAAAATAGTTCAGTATCATATGGTGTATTATTCATTCTAGTAATTGTAGTAATATATCCTTGTTTCTGTTTATGATGATGCACAATATACTTGCATTTTGTATTGTTCTTATTCCTAATAATTTTGATTTTATTGCTCCATATAAAAATTTCTAACTCATCAATTGCATGCATCATGTTTCTTTAAATCTGATTAAGTAATCAACTCTCTCCTATCCTATATAATTTTTCCTATTCACAATGCTTAACTCTACTTTCTTCTGAGTAGATGAGGTTTCTATCATTTTCCATAGCATTAGCTATTTTTCTAGTCTGAGAAGTTTCCACTGTGTGAAAGTTGTTAACTCATTCCATAGCTAATACAGCAGTATGATTACTAACATGATTACCAAACATACCATTATCAGTATTGATTTAGTAAATTTCCATGAACTGACTGAATTTCTTTCAGATATCTTTGTTATCCTGTTTACATGTTGAGTGAATTATATAATTGTTAATACTGAATTCTTGATCTGTCTTGGGGTAAATAATGAATTTAATATAGTCTTAAGTTCTTATACTTCAGAATTGGATTCTTAATTTTTTAAATAATTACTTGTCATACGTTCATTCATGGTCAGTATTTTTATATTTATATCTCAGCTGTGTAGTTAGTTTTGCTTCTAAAGCTTGAAGGTAAACTTAAACCTTATCTATGTGCAGAGTAATTTCTCAGTATTTTTAAATAATTGCTATTTCTCAGTTCTTTTGTGCATTCAAACTGGTGAACATCAGACTTGGAACATACTATAGGCTACGTTATTTCATTTTTCACTTTAAACAGCCAATTGCCAGGTGCTTGAGTTTAGTGAAGATAAAAAAAAAAGCAGGGTAATTTTTCTCCTTTCACATAATTACATGACAACATGGGTCCTGAATATATTCCTAATTTTGTGTTTCTCTTAAACAAGTTACACTCCATTTACATCTTTCTCATTTACAACAAGATATTATTAGTTATTTATATAAATTTGGACACTAGTTGCAAAGACAATAACATTAAACAATCTGAGATTTTTCCAATGGATTGACAGCAATAAACTATTTAGCTGTATTTACTTCCATTTTAATTTCACAATTTATTAATAACTAGAACATATTAAGTGTATTTTGTTTTATTACTATATTTGAAGAATTTTACATTGGAGAAACTGAAAGACCCACAAACTCAAAACATAAAATTTATGTATATACAATACTGACTTTTCACTACAAATGGTGGTAACTGTCACACCTACTTACAATTATTACACTACCCTGGCTCAAAAATGACACCTGCAAAATATTGCATAATGTTTAACAACTGACATTAGAATTTAAGAAACATTAAGGCATTTTTTGAATTTATCTTGTATGACACAAAATAAAGTCTTAACAAATACTAAAGCTTAATTAAATTTAAATACCACTGCATTACTAACAGTAACAACATGAACAACTAGAATCTTGTCCAAAGGAAAATGTAAATATATAAATTTAACTTTAGATATGAACTGAAATTCACATTCCTCTATATATATATATTATGGTTATTCTGCAACCAAGTTAGTTTAACATATATTTTATTTTATTCGTTAAATATGTAAATTTTAATTTATTATTTATACATTATACTCATTGTAATTTGTAAATTGTAGGCCTATCCAATTCTCCTGATTGTGATACCAATACGCTGGAATTCTTTTTTCAAAACAAAACCCTAAAATAATTATTACTGTTACCCTTTTTTGTTCTGAAGCTTTTATTTTTTACTTTAATATTAGCTTTCAGCTGTTGCCATACCTCATTTAAAAACAAAGTTGATCATTGTGAAAAACGAACATTAAACTTCGTTTGACAAAAAATTGTTTTCTTAGTCTTACAAGTTTAACTCATGACAACCATTAGCGCATGCGTTCATGAATGTTCAGTTTCCTTTTGTTTCTTAATTCTACTTTGAAATAAATAAATAAATATATGTTTGTGTGTAATAATACTGTTTAAGGTTAAAAAAAAGACCAAATTCATCTATTGATCCACCCAGTGAGATTCTTAATTCCAATTACTTTATACGAGATGTTTACTATAAGTATAAAATTAAAACAAAGAGATACCTGATTCTACGTTAATAGATTTTAACCAATCAGATTCAACTTTTCATTTGCTCTTAGATCTTTATACGGTTTGGCGCCATTTTGATTTACAGGAAAGAGATGTAAAGGACGATATTAATAATTACACATCGTATTAACAAAATCATTGATATTTTTATACCGTTTATCACCCGATGAAATGCTTTTTCTTCCTAATGTGTTCATAGTAAGAAACTGAGAATATAATTTGAAAGAATAACTACTATTTTAAAATTTACCTTTATCCCTTTTTTTTGGGCCAATGCCTACAGTCATCATGAAGGCTTTAGTCCTGTCCTATGATTGGAGATTCGAAGCTCATGGAGACTGTAGTTAGTACCGGTAGCTGAACCTCCATATAGAAATCTTGAAGCGAGCGTCATCTATTGATGTAATTTTGCGATTTTTGGTCAAGTAAGTGTGAAGCCGGATTATAATTGTTTTGGTTTTACATAAATATCTTTTAAATCAGTCTAATTATATGAATTTATAGATTGCTCAAAAATCATTATATAAATTAGCCTTTGTTCGACAGTTAAGATTTCTGCATTTGAACGTTCAAATGTATATCTTTCTTTCATTGTGATGTTTGGTTAGGCCTAGATTGAAACGTTAGCCTAACTAAAAACGTAAGTCAGTTATACGAAAAGTTATAACGTTAGGTCTTAGTCGTATGGTGGTGAGGGTTATTGACCTGCTTAATTATTTTGTATTTTCAGTTTACTTGTTAAAAATATCCAAATTTCCTTCTGTGTACTTTATTTGCAGTTTAGTGAATATTGCACCAATAATTTTTTTGTGGAAAAATTATGGTGTTCAAATTCGGTAAATTTGCTAAGCCTAATTTTTCATAATTCATTATGCCAGACTAAACGCGGGACTAGCAAAGTAGCATTGGGGAAATGCAACTGTTTTGACATGTGTAGAATTTCTGTCTCCAGTTCCTTAGACCTTAGTTACAAACTGTAAGGGTAAGGACATCCTTAGTTATGACCTGTAAACTTTAATAAATGACATAGTGTGTTCTATACATAGTCGCATTCTTTTGATAGAAATTGCACTTAATAATAATTTATTTGTTATTACAATATAATGCGTGGTTTATTATTATTGTTATTACATTTCATTAGTTTGGTAAGTTAAAAAGAATGGATGGTGTGACCTTGTCTATCAGAAACAATTAGATTTGGAGGTTTTAAAATAAAAACTTAAAAAGTACAAAATGACAGGTAGTCTCATAGTAATTTAACACTGACTTAAAATGACTTAATACTTGGTCATGACTTAATGAATGATATGAAATTGATATTTTGTTCTTTGGCTTATTTATCCTAATGTAAGAATATTTGAAATGATGGAACCTCTCATAATGTTTGCATGTAGATAATGGTATTGAATTTATTAAATCTGAAAAGTTTTATTGAAATACAATCTAAAATGAGTAATAATTGTAGCAGAGAATAAATTTGAGAGTATGATATTTTATTATAGTAAAAATAGTGAAATAAACATTTTATAATAAGGAATGTAATGAATAGTAAAATATTTTAAATTTTTTATGCATAATTCTCTGATTTTGTAAGAAAGAGCATGCTATAACTTTTTCTGATTGTTTAATTTTCCATTGTTCATTTTGAAGTTATTCATTGGAGTATGAGGTAGGTATGTGTGAAAATGTTAAATGAAAGTTCTTGAGTTCTACTTGTTAGACTACGTGTCAGTGTAACTTTTCACTTATGATATTATTATTTAAACCTTCCAATGGAAGTTTTTTAACTTGTTTGTTGACTCACATTCAAAATTTTATTTAACTACTATTTAATGAAGTTGTGTCAATAAGTTTGGTATCAAACTGTAGATTATAATTCAAATTTTACTACTATATATATTACTCAATTTCATAATTTAAAAGCAAATATTAAAAAACACAGATAAACATTAGATGTTTGTGAAATCAAAATACTAAGTCTATAGTTTCGTACAAATTAGAAACTCGAATTACTGGTATTGACAAGCTAGAATATAAAATAAGAGCCTCTTTTCAATTTGCTAAGATATTGTTCATGTAATAAATCAAACACAGTGGCACCCTGCCCACCTCTTTCCATTTTTGGAAACCCTCCCTTATATACACTTACTTCTATATATGATATGAATAACCAATTGGAAGCTCAGAATGTCTCCCTAGTGGCTTTCTTAGCCATTTTAATGGACTCGGCACCATATCTTTCTTTTGAACCAGTATTTCAACGAGGAAGGATGTCTTTTGTCTGCTAAAAATTTTATATTTTTTTACACTAAAATACATCTTAGTTACTAAGCTTTATAAATTATAGTGGGATTCTATGGTACTGATGTAGTAATTTATGATT